GGAAAATAAAATCAAATTAGAAGAGAGGATCCCTCAACATCTTCGGTAGTGTCCACGAAGTCGAGCATAACTTTCTCATCCGGAATCCAAATCAACTGGTTCCGGCGGCATTAGAAAGATATTTACAGCTGGCTACAATTCCTGCCTAATGTCAAAGTTCCAAATTCGGACTCGAACTTGGTCAAAATTGGATTCCAAAAGCGATCATGAAAATACGTGCTACAGTTCGAGGACACGAATGCGCATCAAAAAACTTGCAAACAAATACTCGCTACAAAAGATACGCACATAAGTAAAAGTACAAAAGCATGCACAAAAGTACTCACGCAAAAGTGCATTCGCAAAAAGGATCGTGAAAACACAAACTACAATCCTAGGACATTAATACAAATCAACAAACATGCAAGAACACACTCGCTCAAATGGACATGAACAAACGTACATGTAAAAAAACATGCGCAAAAGTGCATTCACAACAACGTTCTTAAAAACACGAAATACAACACTATGACTTTAAAATGCATAACCAAACGACAGAAAAAACACTAGATAGAAAAGATAGTGTGGAATGTAGAAATAGCACTCAACGTTTACGTTTACGTAGATTTTTTTATGGATTAATTTATATTTCTGTTTTAATTGGTGGATTAAGTATGTTATAGGTACAAATTGATAATTAGGTGTCCATGAAGCAAAAATGTTCAAAAAGTAAGAACAGAGTTGCAATTAGGAAAATAAAATCAAATTAGAAGAGAGGATCCCTCAACATCTTCGGTAGTGTCCACGAAGTCGAGCATAACTTTCTCATCCGAAACCAAATCAACTGGTTCCGGCGGCATTAGAAAGATATTTTAGCTGGCTACAATTCTTGTCTAATGTCAAATTTCCAAATTCGCTTTCAGCATTCCAAAATTGGATTCCAAAGTGTATCATGAAAATACGTGCTACAGTTCGAGGACACGAATGCGCATCAAGAAACGTGCACAAAAACACTCGCTACAAAATATACGCACATAAGTAAAAGTACAAAAGCATGCACAAAAGTACTCACGCAAAAGTGCATTCGCAAAAAGGATCATGAAAACACAAACTACAATCCTAGGACATTAATACAAATCAACAAACATGCACAAACACACTCGCTCAAATGGACATGCACAAACGTACATGTATAAAAACATGCGCAAAAGTGCATTCGCAACAACGTTCTTAAAAACACGAAATACAACACTAGTACTTTAATACGCATAACCAAACAACAGCAAAAACACTAGATACAAAAGATACCGTGGAGTGTAGAAATAACACTCAACGTTTACGTTTACGTGGATTTTTTTATGGATTAATTTATATTTTTGTTTTAATTGCTGGATTTAGTATCTTATAGGTAAAAATTGATAATTAGGAGTCCATGAGGCAATAATGATCAAAGAGTAAGAACAGAGTTGCAATTAGGAAAATAAAATCAAATTAGAAGAGAGGATCCCTCAACATCTTCGGTAGTGTCCACGAAGTCGAGCATAACTTTCTCTCCCGGAATCCAAGTCAACTGGTTCCTGCGGCATTAGAAAGATATTTTAGCTGGCTACAATTCCTGCCTATTGTCAAATTTCCAAATTCCGACTCGAACATGGTCAAAATTGGATCCAAAAGCGATCATGAAAATACGTGCTACAGTTCGAGGTCACGAATGCGCATCAAAAAACGTGCAAAAAAATACTCGCTACAAAAGATACGCACATAAGTAAAAGTACTAAAGCATGCACAAAAGTACTCACGCAAAAGTGCATTCGCAAAAAGGATCATGAAAACACAAACTACAATCCTAGGACATTAAGACAAATCAACAAACATGCAAGAACACACTCGCTCAAATGGACATGCACAAACGTACATGTAAAAAAACATGAGAAAAAGTGCATTCGCAACAACGTTCTTAAAAACACGAAATACAACACTAGGACTTTAATACGCATAACCAAACAACAACAAAAACACTAGATAGAAAAGACACAGTGGAATGTAGAAATAGCACTCTTTTTTTACGTTTACGTTGATTTTACTAAGAGGGAAGGCCTGTCTGCTATTAGCAATAAATAGCTGCCAGGATCATATAGGTACAAATTGATAATAATGTGTCCATGAAGCAAAAATGATCAAAGAATAAGAAAAAAGTTGCAATTAGGAAAATAAAATCAAATTAGAAGAGAGGATCCCTCAACATCTTCGGTAGTGTCCACGAAGTCGAGCATAACTTTCTCTCCCGGAATCCAAGTCAACTGGTTCATGTGGCATTAGAAAGATATTTTAGCTGGCTACAATTCCTGTCTAATGTCAAATTTCCAAATTCCGACTCGAACATGGTCAAAATTGGATTCCAAAAGCGATCATGAAAATACGTGCTACAGTTCGAGGACACGAATGCGCATCAAAAAACGTGCAAAAAAATACTCGCTACAAAAGATACGCACATAAGTAAAAGTACAAAAGCATGCACAAAAGTACTCACGCAAAAGTGCATTCGCAAAAAGGATCATGAAAACACAAACTTCAATCCTAGGACATTAATACAAATCAACAAACATGCAAGAACACACTCGATCAAATGGACATGCACAAACGTACATGTAAAAAAACATGCGCAACAGTGCATTCGCAACAACGTTCTTAAAAACACGAAATACAACACTAGGACTTTAATACGCATAAGCAAACAACAACAAAAACACTAGATAGAAAAGACACAGTGGAGTGTAGAAATAGCACTCAACGTTTACGTTTACGTGGATTTTTTTTATGGATTAATTTATATTTCTGTTTTAATTGGTGGATTAAGTATGTTATAGGTACAAATTGATAATTAGGTGTCCATGAAGCAAAAATGTTCAAAGAGTAAGAACAGAGTTGCAATTAGGAAAATAAAATCAAATTAGAAGAGAGGATCCCTCAACTTCTTCGGTAGTGTCCACGAAGTCGAGCATAACTTTTTCATCCGGAATCCAAATCAACTGGTTCCGGCGGCATTAGAAAGATATTTTAGCTGGCTACAATTCCTGTCTAATGTCAAATTTCCAAATTCGGACTCGAACTTGGTCAAAATTGGATTCCAAAAGCGATCATGAAAATACGTGCTACAGTTCGAGGACACGAATGCGCATCAAAAAACGTGGAAAAAAATACTCGCTACAAAAGATACGCACATAAGTAAAAGTACAAAAGGAAGTACAAAAGTACTCACGCAAAAGTGCATTCGCAAAAAGGATCATGAAAACACATACTGAATCCTAGGACATTAATACAAATCAACAAACATGCAAGAACACACTCGCTCAAATGGACATGCACAAACGTACATGTAAAAAAACATGAGAAAAAGTGCATTCGCAACAACGTTCTTAAAAACACGAAATACAACACTAGGACTTTAATATGCATAACCAAACAACAACAAAAACACTAGATAGAAAAGACACAGTGGAATGTAGAAATAGCACTCAACGTTTACGTTTACGTTGATTTTTTTATGGATTAAGTTATATTTGTGTTTTAATTGGTGGATTTAGTATCATATAGGTACAAATTGATAATAATGTGTCCATGAAGCAAAAATGATCAAAGAATAAGAAAAGAGTTGCAATTAGGAAAATAAAATCAAATTAGAAGAGAGGATCCCTCAACATCTTCGTTAGTGTCCACGAAGTCGAGCATAACTTTCTCATCCGTAATCCAAATCAACTGGTTCCGGCGGCATTTGAAGGATATTGTAGCTGGCTACAATTCCTGTCTAATGTCAAATTTCCAAATTCGGACTCGAACATAGTCAAAATTGGATTCCAAAAGCGATCATGAAACACTACAAGAAAAACTAGTTTCAGTGACCAAATTCTCAACGACCATAACTAAATGGTCACTAAATGTTCACATTTAGTGACCAAAAGTAATTTTGTAGCAAAAGTGGGAAGGGTTAAATCTTGTTGCGACCAGCGAACATTTAGTAGCTATAAGTGGTCACTAATAGTTAGACATCTTGTAGCAACTAAAGTTAAAGTTTGTAGCGACAATTTTTATGGTCACTATAACTTAGTGTCAATAGTGACCAATTTAACATCAATTTTTTTACGGTTGCTACGAGTCTTTAATTTAATTATTAACAACCATTTAATTGGTTTGCTAGCAACCACTTGAATTTGGTTACTATGAAACTACTTACGGAAATCAAATCGATTTGGTCACTAGTTTAATTTTTAAACAAATCAAGAAAAGAAAAGAAAATAAAAGGAAGATGGGGGGCGAAAATGCAAATAATAAAAAAATTACAGCCATTTATCATTCTGTCGTTTCTTCATCACAAAACATTACTATGTTCACTCTCTCCTTACGTTCTCTTTCTCTCTACCAATTCTC